ATGTGCTCTGCCCTACCAGCCACAAACATCTGGCCTGGCTTCTTGTTGTTTGCAAAAAATGCGCTCGAGGCAGGCGGCCTCCAGGTGACTAACCTGCGATCAGTCCCGGGAACACAACACCTATAGCTCAACACAGCCTACCGGTGCCTCATTTCCCTGGTATTCATAAGGATGATTTAGTTGTCTACCGCACCCGTTGTATGTTTCAGATCCGTTTAAAATGCTGTTCACTCACCAGTGTCCGTGAAACTGTCGAAATCTGAGGGGAAAACACATGAACCTTGATCCGAACAGCTCCTCTGTCCTCACAGACACATCGGTGCTTCCTCTCATGTGTAGACTCTACCGGTGGAGGTCACAACGGTGATGTGTACACCATTTAGGGTTTAATAAATACACACAGATAACCACACGACGTCTAGCTACTGGTTGGTAACGGACTTCGCACCGTGGGAAATCGATCTGTTCTACGATCGAAAGAAAAAAAAATATGCGAGCACGAGCGCAGACAGGCGGAGAAAGGTGAGCGCTGATTGGTTGAACGCCGTTCTGAATTTAAAACATCTGCTTGGATGATTCCTATTGGTGGAGGTGTTAAAGGGCAATTCCGCCTCAGTGACCAACGCTTTTTTCTCTTTGCACTGGAGGCTAAAATTACTTTAGCTCATCGATCTGTATGCTCTCAGTGAAAGCCCACAGGGGAGATTTAATCACAGTGTGGGATTTAGTGGATATTAAAGCCGCCTCATTTCATTTACCCACCTTTTTATTGGTAAAACGGATTTTGGTAACTCTTTTAGTATGACATGGATATTCACGATAGATTGTGGCCCCTATGGAGCTTCAAATATGCCAAAATCAACTGTTTGTGAATTTCCCACCAGGGCTCAATAAAGTCTTAAATTTTATATTTTTATGTATGTATGTATTATATAATGTACTTTGAATAGCTTTTTGTATGAAAATTGTGCTATACAAATAAACATGACTTGTTTTATCTCATTTGTTCACTTAATCTAATCCTGACAAGTAGTAAAGTTTTGAAATAAATGTAGTGCAGTAAAAAGTATATTTGCTTCTAAAATGTACTGAAGTCAAAGTACAAAGTAGCAGAAAATGAAAATACTCAAGTACAGATACCTTAAAACTGTACTTACATAGTGTTTGAGTGAATGTACTTCATTTCCATTACATTGGTAAGACTGTCAAATTACAATACATGAAACTACTGAAATTCATGAGGAAATAATCATGAGATACACAATTAATTTAGCAGTACTACTATAAGTACATTTACTGTACAAAAGTATTTCCATTTTATGCTTTTCCCAGATAGCAATAAAAATCTGGTCCAATGTACAGTATGTCCAGCCCACACAGTTCCACATTGGAGCTGAGCTTGGCTCTAAGCTTCCACTGCTGGTGGACATCTGGAGAGATTATCTGGGGGTGCATCACAATTGATCCAGATGTGAAAGAAGCATCTAACACAATGTGGGCTGGACTCAGGCTGAGGAACAAGGTGTATATTGAGCCAGAAGACATACAAATATGTGGCCTAATTAGTTCCCAGAATAACAGAGTAGATCTAAATCTTTCATCATGTCAGTTGATAAATGGTATAGTGGCACATACCATATGCCCAAACAAATTTTCAAGTAAATTAGCACAAACAAATTGGCATACACTAAGCCCGGTCCTTTCAGACTCCCTGGAGTTTGTGGATTAGTTACCTACTTGGCCAAGATGGTCATCAATCCTTGGAAAATGTAGGCTGCATTTAAAGATCTTGGGTGCAAATTAAACTTCACTATGTAGTAATGTTTTTAGATAAGAATTTAATCTACAAAAATATAAATAATTCCATTCAGAGTAGGACCCTTGATGGGGTTTCAGAAATGTGTCTCTCATGTTCACATCCAGGTTCATGATGGCTGGGGTTCACTTGGGGCTCGTACTGTAGATGTGCTAGTACAGTCAGTGTCCATGACTTTCATCTTGCCTTTAAGAACAGGAAACTGATAAGGCACACTAACAGGAAGCCAAAAATGAAAACGTATGTGTCTAACCAACACATCCTTCCTATGCTACAAGAAAACATCACAGCACAGAAAACACAAACTGATCAAGAAGCTGCAGTTGAAGAGTTTATGGGATTATGTATTAGTCAGCATTTTATATGCTGTGTGATGTCTGAGTGTTTACAGAAACCCATCTCTGAGAAAAATCCTGTGTGCTGAACTAAATGACTATAAATATGTCAGGATGATTAGCTAATGTCTAGCAAGTTACTGCAAATAGAATGACCCATGTGTTGCATTTGTGCTGGATTCACCAACCTAATGGATGATGGCAAAAAAAATGTTTTCAGTAGCTGATGTTGACACCACTATAATGTGACTGTGAAACAGGGTTCATATTACAGTAATAATTTAGTACCAGATCAGAGACAACCATCACATCTTTCTGGTCTCTTTGTCATTACACAGCCATTCTAATAATACTGTCTGACCAGTGAAATCTTATTTGCATTACTGACATATATTTCAGTTTTGGAAATCATACAGCAGCAAAAACCCTCTCTTCTCTGCACCATATAAACTGGTGACTAACATTATGTCAGAAACCATACATCAGAATGGTCATAAGTCAGAATCTGCTCATCTTCTTGCAGTCACCTTAATGTGAATGATGTTTTCAGAGGTAACAATGTCCTTTTCGCCACGACAAACCAGCTGTTGTGCATTCCTATCCTTAACATGTTGCTCAGTTCAAGCAGTGATGCAAAATGGCACAGGTAAAAGCCACCAGTCCAGTTCTGTAATAATTCTAGCCTTCACTCTGGTTTACCACCTGAGGGTCACTTCTGTGTCACAGCTATTCACCAGCCTCATCCATCTCTGCATCTGCTGGAGCTGCGTTCTCTTGCTCTGGGTCACCAGGTAGGACTCCTGCAACCGTCTGGATGAGCTCCTCAATCTGCTCCTCTGATAGTCGCTCTTCACTCTCTTCTACCATCTGGGTAAAAACAAAAAATAAGACACTAAGGCACACCAAAGTGGCTATTATCAATATTTTTAGAATAATGTCTCAACAATGTGAAAAAGCTTTTGATCACATCACATTTGTCTTCAGCAGAAGGAAATGGCCACTTGTTATTGACCTGAGGTTGTTCACATGTTCAACATGGACAAGAAGTCCTTAAAGAAAAACTGGAAATGACAGCAGACAACAGACAATCTCCATCTGCTGAGGTGACACAGTTCAACAGTTTGGCTGGTTCCTGGACAACAACTCTGTGACACAGGGGAATAAGCTAATTCAGGCTTCATTGTACTTGGTGACAGTAAGAAAGTACAAAAAATAGACTCATCACTAGATATATCATTTAATTGAGACTTAGTATATGACTGGTTTGTTCATATGAAATAAATGTGTGAAACAACAATGGAAGTGAACGCCAGGAGTGAATATGAGATAAAAAGAGGTAAGGTCTAACATACAGTATAATAACTGTAATGTGTAGCAGTTAAGTAAAAACTCACCAGCTGTATTTCAACTGCTGTCTCTGGTCGGTGGTTCAATAGTTGCAGTTTCTCAGCCCTGATGACAACAGGAAGAAAAAATATCATCAGCGTGTATACAGTATGCAGAACAGTACACATACTGTTTACTGAAGTATATGTCTACCTAAAAACATATTATACCTTATTATACTAAATGAAAACATTAAATCAATGCATTTGTCAGATCTTACTGACTTTGTGAGTTTGTGAGGCATCATGGTGACGAGGAACTCTTTGACAATCTCTGGACTCTGTCTACTGCAGGGCGTCTTTGACAGGTACTTCAGTGTCTGTGTGGAAATGCAGAGGATGTCGTGGGCACGTTTATGTACAGATGAAAATGTGACAAAACAGGCACACAGTCAGTGAAAAGAGGAAGAGGATGTGTGCCGACCTCATACATGATGGTGTTTAGGTTTTGCTGCCCTATGCTGTGCTTATTCCTCCCACTGTCCTTCCTTTGTTCCTTCAGGTCTGTCAGGAGCTTGAACACCTAAGAAACACAGACCATAAAATCTGAAGTTACACTAAATTATTTTCATCTCTTTACTGGACAGTGCAAAAACATTTAATCGGACATTTTGAGTCTTAAGACATTGTCTTACCTCAAAGTTACTGAGCATAGCAGCGCTGGCATTCTTTCTGAAAAGAAGAAAATAAATGTTTAATCAGATGTTCATCTATGACCTTTAGAAAATGTACATGTAACCAAATAACCTAATCTCAGAGGTCAGTGTACTCACTTTTGTAACCGTACCTCAGTTTTCATTTAGTGAATGGAGTTGGCTCAGGTGAGATCACACGATGACACCTGAGCCTCCTCCAGTCACTGAATGAAGACTGTGAAATGCATTTGAAAGCTTTAAAAGCTGGACAGTGAACCTTTAAGCTTGGATTATTTTGGTTCCACGAACATAAAAACACATTAATAATAATGCTGTGATTAGCTCACAGGGCATAACCAAGCACACTGTGTGCACTACAAAAAGTTTGTCCTGGTGCTAATTCAAAGGCAAAGACTGGTCACAACACATATTGATTTGATTTAGGTTTACTGCACTTTGTTAATACAGTAGCTAAATACTTAATACTGTACAGTAGCCTATACTTGAAACTATGCAAATATTCTCCACTACAGCATGGGATTGCAACTACAGATAAACTATTTAGCCCATAAAATATCATAAAATTGTGACAAATACCTAACAATTTACCACAATGCATGTTTTTATGTCCCTCACCAGTACAATGGGACAAAAATTTCAATCCTCACCTTTAAGAAAGTAGTCAAAATGTTCTTCATAAATGAGAAACACTATCAGCGATTAAAAGGGTTGCAGATTAATTTTCATTTTTACTAATGAAAATGTAATACAAACATTTTTTTATTAAAAACTTGTATTGCTCGCAGTTAATTGTCCAAAATGAACTCCCATGCTGTTTTTCCAAGAAAAATACACCTATGTGTATAATGTACATCTTGTGGGCCACATATTAATAAACACAACAGCTCAGTGTAATCCTTAGGTATTATATTAGCCATAATCCTTAATATAAATTTTAATGCCTTATTATTTTTAAATCATTTCGACTCATGGAAACATGGAAATGTGGGTAAAACCAGTTGTCAATAAACTAACCGGAAACTGCCACAAGGTCGTAGCTGTTTTACCTTCAACCACAATGACTATCTACAGTTGAAATAAACAGTATAAAATTGCCAGTTGTTAAGCTTAATGTAACAAATCGAACACAAAAACAAAAGGACCTTACACTTCCATTTCGTTGGCCTTCGACTTAGTCCGCCCTGCAAACGTGTCCGGGTGGAAAACCCAAAATGGGTTAAGGTTCCCCCCGGCACAAAGCTGACTTCTGTGTTGCGATTTCAGACAATAAGGATTTATTTACAATTTCTTTCATTAGGTAAAAATCAGTCTACTAGCGTTTGGTTTGTGCTGCTTTCTCCCCGTTTCAGGCTATTTGGTGATTTTAAAAACGCCGTTTATACTTTCAAACCTGAGGTGGAAGCTGATGGCGATCCAAACGAAGAATAAAGAATCAAAGTGTCAAATTATCGCCACCTTATGTTCGAGTAGATTTACTGCAGAAAAGCACAAACGAAGAACAGGAATCAGGTTAAAACTGTTGAGCCATAAATCTATTTTCCGCCCTGCAAAAGTGTCCGGGTGGAAAAACCAAAATGGGTTAAGGTTCCCTCCGGCACAAAGCTGACTTCTGTATTGCGATTTCAGACAATAAGGATTTATTTACAATTTCTTTCATTAGGTAAAAATCAGTCTGCTAGCGTTTGGTTTGTGCTGCTTTGTCCCCGTTTCAGGCTATTTGGTGATTTTAAAAACGCCGTTTATACTTTCAAACCTGAGGTGGAAGCTGATGGCGATCCAAACGAAGAATAAAGAATCAAAGTGTCAAATTATCGCCACCTTATGTTCGAGTAGATTTACTGCAGAAAAGCACAAACCAAGAACAGGAATCAGGTTAAAACTGTTGAGCCATAAATCTATTCTAATCTGTAAGGAACAAACCGTTTACCATTTTTTATGGTAAATTTATATATCAATCCTGTTATATGTATACATTTTTAAAAAATGCATCACAAACTTAGTCTTTTACCATAAAGTTTTTTTTTCCACATTGCAGGATGACTTACAAACATCAAACGCCTGATTTTATTATCAGGCATAAACTGTAGCTATTGCACAACCTGTAGAAATTCAATGTTGATATATTCAAATTTACCTGAAACCATAATTTCACCTTTGAGCATTCATTGATATTGTTGTTGCTCCTGCTGTTAGTGAAAGCAAAGAACACACAAGCAAATACAACTAAGGCCCAAATATGAAAAAAAAAAAGACTTTATTGAATACCAAACCGCCACCATGAATTTTTTTTTTTTAATAAAACAATGCAGATCAATACAGAGTTTTACAGCACAAATTGTTGCAACAGATGTATCCTAACAGAGGTGTTACACGATCGCCATCTTGGCCGATCTGGCCACCATGAATGTGATACAACTGAGTACAATATTAAGACCCAACATAACCAGGTAAGATCCAGTTCAAAACAGGTGTTTCCAAAACCGTGATAGACACAATAAAATACTTCTCTACTCTACTTTTATGACATATACCCCATCACCAATAAATCAGTGATAAGCTAACCAGAGCTGACTGGCCCATTGATTCATCATTTGGACTCATTAAGAATTCCAGCCAGATTCTCTTAGTTTCCTCAAAACTAACAATGCAGTGGCAGAAAATTAACTCATATTTGGCTATGAGAAAAGCCCCCAAAACACAGAGATATGAAGACTGATTTACCATTACAAAAGAGCCTATTAACAAAACAAGAGCATTTTAAGATAAACATCTGCCTAAAAATGGGTAGAAAAAATAGTTTCCTTTATCCAAAAAATACTTAAAATAAATTCCTTCTTTCTTCTCCAAAAGGACACCAATATATAAAAACAGACATGACAAGTTTTACTGATCACTGCTGAAATCACTCTGTCAGTAGTTTTCATTGTAATGCTATGTCTACACCTATTTAATGTCCATTGAGACAGGCTCCTCTTTCTGAGAGAAGAACTTAAAGAACATCTTCAATCTCTCATCACTTGTTTCCACCAAACTGTTGACTGCATCTTTAAATGCTGTGTTATTTTCTTGTAAGTCAGACCCGTTTTTATATAGTCATCACATTCTGACGTGTTCCCAAAGAACCGATCAGTAATCCATTGAGCCTTGTGGTCATCAGATCCATTTTGAGTGCTGTTTACAACTGCAAGAGAGGTACGCTGTCAAGACATCAAACTTTCTCCTCTCCACCATCTGAACAAGGATGTGTTACATAATAAGGGACAGATGATAGCCAAACTCTATTTGACCTTTCCCTGTTATGTTTTTGTTCCAATACCCCCCTGAATGCACTGCAACAACTTTGCATCCCTTATCAAAGACAGGAGAGCCAGATGAGCCATAATAAAAACAAGAGTTGTAAACTAGAACCCCTTTGTTAGAGTCAACACATTCTGACACGTTCCCAAAGAACCGATCAGTAATCCACTGAGCCTTGTGGTCATAATCAGATCCAACAATCAGGCATGGATCAATTTTTTTCACACCACAATTGGGATGTCCAATAATGCAAATTCCACAACTTTTGGGAAGGAATTCAAAGTGGCTCAACAGAGGTTCAGGCAATGTCTGATCAGCTCGGAGTCTTAACAAAGCCCAGTCGTACAGCTGGCGTGATGGATCAAGACCATATTCACCACCAGCAACCTCTTCTACCTCCACTTGTTGCCCAATCTCATCTAGACTTTCAAAAGAGAGTTGTAAGCCAGAACCACTTTTTTATAGTCACCACATTCTGACGCGTTCCCAAAGAACCGATCAGTAATCCACTGAGCCTTGTGGTCATAATCAGATCCAACAATCAGGCATGGATCAATTTTTTTCACACCACAATTGGGATGTCCAATAATGCAAATTCCACAACTTTTGGGAAGGAATTCAAAGTGGCTCAACAGAGGTTCAGGCAATGTCTGATCAGCTCGGAGTCTTAACAAAGCCCAGTCGTACAGCTGGCGTGATGGATCAAGACCATATTCACCACCAGCAACCTCTTCTACCTCCACTTGTTGCCCAATCTCATCTAGACTTTCAAAAGAGAAACGGACAGTGACCCTGTCAGTAAGCGGTGGTGTATTACGAATGCCATCAACTACATGGGCATTTGTGAGGACAAAGTTGCCAAACAGGAGAAAGCCACTTCCCTCTGGCCTCCCATTGACGCTCACAAGGCAAACAGAATTACTAAGATCCATCAGTTTCTTCATTGTTTTCACTTCCCTGCATGCCTCATCATTCTTTCCATACTCCACACGCAAGAGGTTTTGGACACGAGACAGCTTAGGAACTTTAGAGTTCTTCTCTTTCACAAAATCTTTAAACACTGAAGACAAGTCATTCTTCATCATTTCTCTGATGCATCATGATCATATTCACTACCAGCAACCTCTTTCACCTCCACTTGTTCCCCAATCTCATCTAGACTTTCAAAAGAGAAACGAACAGTGACCCTGTCAGTAAGCGGTGCTATATTACGAATGTCCTTAACTACATGGGCATTTGTGAGGACAAAGTTGCCAAACAGGAGAAAGCCACTTCCCTTTGGCCTCCCATTGATGCTCACAAGACAAACAGAATTACTAAGATCCATCAGTTTCTTCATTGTTTTCACTTCCCTGCATGTCTCAGCTTTCTTTCCATACTCCACACGCAAGAGGTTCTGGACATGAGACAGCGAGTTCTTCTCTTTCACAAAAGTTTTAAACAATGAAGACAAGTCATTCTTCATCATTTCTGAATCAGGTATTTCATTTAATTGTATTGTTTGTGCTGTATCATTTCCTTGCTTTGGTTTCTTTCTTGGTGGGCTGTCATTCACTGATTCAGTTGTGGTGGACTGCTGTGTAGGAGCCTGGTTTGCATCAGAGTCAGATCTCTGAGAATTGTTTTCCATTGTAGCATCATCAAGACTGCCAGGCTGACTTTCTGGTGGTCTAGACTTATCAAGCAGTATGATCTTGTAGGTTTTACCATCAAGATCATCAACAGGATTGGACATTTCTGTGTAAACGCCAGTGATCTGTTCAGAGAGCGCACAGTTCTTTTTGAAAATGAGACTCAGAAAACGACCATCCCTTCTTAGAGCCTGCTTCACTGTTTCCCCTTTATATGCATAGTCATTTTATGACTGACACTTTTGACTGCTGGATTTTCCAGAATTCTCACTACATTTTTACCTCCTATTGTCTGCACATGAAATGTCACAAGCTCACTAGGTTGCACCCTTCTGCAGGGATGAGGATGAACAGAGCCACTACCTGATTGTTTTAGCTTCTCTACAGCTTTGACATACTTAATAGTCACACATCCATTTTTAATTAAGCTGCACGGAAAGTGTGAACTGATAGCGTTATTATCCAACAAAACAACAAGTTCTTTGCCCTCTTTTTTTCCTGCAAGTGCTTTAAACTGTGGACTTCTCTTCAGCGAGTCTTCAACAGTTCCTGCTTTGTTGCAGGTAAGTGATATGAACCTCCTGCCATTCCAGTACCACTTAAAACTATGGGTCAGATGCTTCTCCTCCTCCTCCTAGGAACAAAAAAATTTAAGTCTCACTTTAAATGCAGTAAAACTATTTCCATTTCAATAAAGTGATACTACATTTACACCTTGTTATATTACAAGAACATGGCTGAAGTGGAATGAAAATGTACTAACACATACTAAATATTTATTATCAGAAACAATTGTGACCCAATTACAAGAAAAATACATTTGTGTATTTCACTATAGATTCCATTTGCAGATATAAAATAAAACATGACAAACCTTTGCAACAGGTTGTAAATTAGGAGGTTGACTGGTTTCCCCATTCTGATGGTCTGTTTTTTCCTTGAGACAAGACAGCAATAATATTAACATCAATGTTTTAAGCAATACTTAAGACTTGACTTATTAATAGCTCCCGGCCCCATATAAATTAGTAATCTCACAAAATGTTGACAGCTTAAACTGACAAGCCCTCAGTGTACATTTCATTACACAGGAGAAAACTGGCACCTCAACACTTTTGTCCATTGGTCCATTATTGTTGGTGTCCGACTCCTGTTCCATTTTTTATGTGATGTTTCAGCTGAAATTTTAAAATGTTCAAAGGGGGTGATGTAGTATGTTAACTAGAGGAAAAAACAAATAAACAGGATTAATTTCTAAT